TATAAGTAAAATTCAATGCTACGCATTTTTTACTTAGAAATTAAGGCCGGTTTCCATAGTAAAATTTTGCTTTATTTATGATTTCTTTATTTTTAGCGTTTGTTTAGATTTACGTTAAGATCTGCAAGATCTGCAAGATTTTGCAATTTTTATTGGCTCTGAGCTAATTTTTGTACATCGATTTTCTTGACATAAGGGAATCCGTTAAATAGAGAGTTGTAAATGTTAATTAAATCTGCATTTAAATAAATTATTTTAAATCTATTGAAAACAGCTATATGATTTTTTTTTACATAATTTATTATAAATAAAGTCATTTAACTCCCATATTAGCATTAGCAAATAAATGAGATCTAGCATTTCTAAAATATTGGAATGTATATAAAATTTTCAGTATATAATGTTAATAGGTTTATTGTTATTACAGCATTATATTAAGGTTATCAAACTTTAGCTAATTGTATTACCCTATACTATATAACGTAAGATGTTTCTATAATATCCGTGCAATTTTCCCACCCCAAAAAAATTACGTAATTAATATTAGTGTCTTTATTTATTTAAGTGGTCTGCCTATTTTTAGGTTCTATACTAACCGCCATACCTGCAATCTAACTAGAAGACTATCTATTTAAACTTTTTGGTTTTTACAATCAAGAGTACAACTAGCTACATATGCAACTTTTGGTCACCTATTTAAGTAGTCCATCTTAGGTTTTACACTAGCTATCATATCTGCAACCCAGTAGTATATAAAATTTGTTTTTTATTAAAAATAGTATTACTACATATATTATATTTTTATTATATATTTACTAATTATATAGATAAGAAAAAAGATAAATTTGCAAAAAAAATAATAGATACAAAAAATTAATTTTCTTATAAACTATTAATCAGAATTATATAATTTTAATACTGTTTAATTCATCTTATTAAAACGAATTAAATAATACTAATTTTGATTAATAATTCCTAAGATAATTAATTTTTTGTATCTGTTATTTTTTTTGCAAATTTGTTTCATTAGACTCATATTATAAATAATAGAAAATATAAATTTACCATGAATATAGGTTTTTATATATTAAAAAAAAGAAAAATCTTATTAGCAAAATTGCAATTTATATATATATATATATATATATTTTTTATTTAGGCAGTTTTGCCAGTATTTTATTAAAACTTTAAGTATATATATTACTATATTAATACATTTGTTTATTTCTAATTTGCAAATATAATGTTATCTGGCTATTTTAAAGGTGCCTAAGTACAACCTGCCACACTAATTTGAAAACTAAACTAAAAATTAGAGGCTATATTAAACTAGCCTAAATGCTATATCATAATAGCTTTTTCTCTCTTTCATATTATTATAGAACAAATTGAATACTTCTATAAGATCCAAAAGACTTTTATGATTATAACAAGCTATATTATATAAAGAATAGACTAATAGTTAGCTATATAATTAGTGATTTATATTTTATACCTTTTATACTTTTTATATCTTTTATACCTTTTTATACCTTTTATATTTTTTATATTTTTTATATCTTTTATATCTTTTATGCTTTTTATATCTTTTATACCTTTTATATCATTTGTATATTTTGTACCTTTTATATATTTTATACATAAAGAGAGTGATGGTTTAGTGAAGTAGTCTAGTTATCACTTCACCAAGTAGCAGGTCCAAAGTTCGAATCCCACAGATAATGTTTTTGAAAAATAGACCTGTGTTATGGTGACAGTCATGGTCGATCAGTTGGGTCCCAGAATCTGTAATCTTGGTAACACCATGTTTATATGGGAGCTTCAGCGCATAAAAGACCAAAAAACTGTGATAATCAAAACTTGTTTAGAAAGTCCTGAGTGAGGAGATAGCAAAAACTTTTAATAATGCTACAAGAAGACCAAACTTGGAACTGGAGACTGAGACCAGAGAACCAAACGACCAGGTCTTTAAGTGAGGAACACACTAGCCAAACCGCTAGGTTGCCAAAAACCAGAAAAAAAGGACATATGCTCCAGAAGCATATACCAAGAGGAGGATACCTATAGGGCACCTAATGCCTAGAGAGACCAACTCTTTCAGGTTGTCAGCTAGAAGTAAGGGAGAGACTGGTTAAGAATTTGAAGAAAAGAGAAGTTCAAATAAAGATGCCGGAGTTAAAGTAAACCTCATAAGAACACAGTGGTTAAATGGGGGTAATCCCAACTACGAGTAAGAGCCTTGGCAACTGCAGTACCAGGTTAGCCAAAATGGAATATGGAAGGCTCTGGTGGGTTTATCTCGAGGATAGACCAAGTTGGTAAGTCCTAAGACACAAATGAAATTTAGGCAACCAAGTTAAAAGACCTCACTAGGTAGAATTAAGTTATGATCAGAGGGTTTAAATAAGTAACCTCCTAGTCGGGTTGCAGGTATGGCAGCTAGTATAGAACCTAAGGCGAACTACTTAAATAGGCAACCAAAAGTTGCACGTGTAGCTAGTCGTACCCTTATTTGTAAGAACCAGAGAGTTTAAATAGGTAATCTTCTAGTTAGATTGCAGGTATAGTAGCTAGTGTAGAACCAAAAATAGGCAGACTATTTAAATAGATAACCAAAAGTTGTACATGTGGCTAGTTGTACCATCATTGTAACTGAAACTTAACTTCTAATAAAAAGTTATAGCCAAAGAGGTTATCTTTAATACCAAAAAAAAATATATATATATTTTATACGTTTTATACTATTATATCTTTTATACTTTTTATACTTTTTCTATTATTTGTATTTTGTATAATAATAGTATTTTTGTAGTATTTGTAAAAGTATATAAACTCTAGCTTTCTGCTCTTCTATAGCTTTAGAATTAGTTCTTTGCAATCTTTAGTTATTAGGATTCTTTAGGCACAGATACCTATTGAGCTTTGTATTTTAAATAGTATTTGTAGTTGATTCTTATTTATTGACTTGACTAAGCCGATTTTTAAAAATTGGCTTAGCTAGCTTTATCCAAGTCAATTAACCTGATTGGTTATCTAAAATACATGACAAATAATATATATTATTGGTCATTATACATTATTATAATTAGTAAAACTTTACAAGATCTAATGCTAAAGATTTCATCTTTACTTTCATCTAAAGTTAACAACTTAAAATACAATTTATAAGTATAATATTTTTGATATTTAATATAATTTTATTATAGGTTATAAGCAGAGATTTCTCTTAATAATCTGTTACAAATTGAAGTATCTTGTAAAGAATACGCTATTTAGTTAAACAATTGAGTAATGCCAAAGAAAAACTATAAATATACTTAATAATTTGTAATAAGGATTCTTTGACAAATTATTCTTGATCTTGTGAATTGAACTATTAAAAGATAAGATATAATAATTATTGTTTTTTATTTAATTTTAATTTTAAAGTATTCTAATATTATTTAGTTATATCTTTATAACCCAGGATATATATTCATTATTTTAAAATTTTTTTTTAAAAATAGAAGATCATAAACTGTGCCTGCCTTCAAACTATTATGCTTATCTATTAAAGTATTACCTGTATCAGAAAAAAGATATACTGTAGATATTGTAGATATACTTAAAAAAATTTATACCTGTTTAGCTAAAAAAGGTAAGGCACTTTTGTACTCATTCTACTAGCTTAAAAGGTTATATTTTTTATAATAGGTCTTTTTGGATTATGTTTAGGGATTTGTAAAATAGATAAATATATTTGAAGCTTAGTGTCAATTAGAGATAAGAAGGAGGATTTAATTTTATTATCAAAAAAAGAAGACATTTCTATATCTGGAGCTTGGTTGATTGTTGGTAAGTTATTGGTTTGGCAAGAAAATTCAATTCTTTCATGTAATTTCTGAAAAACCTCTTGTTTAATTGTAGATAATGTGGCTGACAACTTTTTGAACCAGGGTTAATAAATGTGGCAAACCATTTAACTATCTCTGGATTATCCCATCAAGATGCCATTGATGTATGAAGACATTGGTGTATTTCAATAATATCAGGATATGTAAGCTTATCTTTAATCTGATCCAGATTTTTAAAAAAGTATCATATAGTCAAGTATATTATATCCAATATAGAATATTGATCACCTCTTACAAATGTTAATATTCATGCAAATAAACATAAAATTTGGCATAACTCTTTTAGACCTGCTATAGTATTATAATTGAAAAAAAATACAATTAATAAGTTGGTTAACTGCTTTTTAAAAATTAATTAAAAATTGATTACTATTAATTAATTAATTGATTCATTTTCTTTTTTAATAATAAGCACTGTCAAGAAAAGAATCAAATTATAGTTTGAATTTATTACTACTAAATCATGCAGTTATATATTACTAATTAGATTTTTTAGGATCAAGTCTTATAAAAAAAAAAAATTCAAAGCTAGTAGTTTTGTTTTCTTATTGATATTCAAAAAATGGCTCAACTTATAAATATAATTTATAAAGATCAAAATTTCACAAAATCTACTATAATATATTTATTAAAATAATAAAATACAGTTAATTTAATTAATTTTAAGTTGGTTAATAATATTTGATTTGATATATTATTTACTATATATACAAATATTTGTATATAATATTATAAATTATTATACTTTTATCTATAACAATGCATGCAGGTATAATTAGTATATAAAACTTATATGTAATGCAAAGTTTGAGATCCTGTCGTATAGTTTCTACATCCAAGGATTTTGGCTAGTTTATATAATTATTACTAATTTAACTATTTGCTACTGAACTTACTTTTTAACCCATTGTTGCTATTGATTGAAACCCATTCTATTTACTCACTTCTATTATGTAACATCCTTAAATACATAGTAAAAATCTTTAAAATATAACACAAATATAAGCTTCAAGAATAGTATTTGATATTAATATATAATATTCCTGTATTTAGATTAAGTTGGATCAGATTTGTAATAAATATTATATAATAGAGATTAAAGAAAACATGAAGTTAATAGGTAAAGTATTCTTGCAGAATTATAAAATATATCAAAATTTAAAAATTTTTCTTACTAATTATAAGTCATTTAATTGACTTCACATATATATATTATTATTTTTCTGGTTTAACAATAATAAACTTTTTAAATTTTCTGTTATTTATAAATACTGTCAATACTATTGACAATTATTGCAAATTATTAAATTATATGTTTGTAAATATTTATAGTTGTTTAACTATATAATATCATTAATTTATATATATAATAAATAACCAAATAACAAATAATCTGAGATTATTTGGGTTATTTTATTATTTGATTATTTAGAATTAAATGATTAATTATTTCCCAACACTATATATAATGATAAATTTAAAATAGATTATCAATTAGGCCATATAAACTTAATTTTTTGTTTTTCATAATCTGGCCAGATTATATTTTGAAAATTTTTTGAAAAAAATTTTTTATATGTTTTAGTAGCCGGGTAGGATTTCAAAAAAAATTTTTTTAAAAATTTATAAAATTTAAAATTTTTTATATATAAATTTTTAAATAAAAGTCTGGGCAAGTGGGTCATTTTTTTGTTTCATGTTATAAAAAACAAAAAATTAAGTTTATATGGCCTTATATAGAAATTTAAAGATTAAATATATAGTTAGATATATTGTTATTATAGATCAGAGTACTAATAATTTTTTAGGAGATTCAATATTAATAAATTTTTGTCCCTAAAATAACCAAAAACAAATTTACTATGATGTTATATATGTTTTACTATATAATCTATAAAAAATCAACTAAGCTGATTTTTTTAAAAACCAACCAACTTAGTTAACTAAGTTAAAAAAATTAGCTAATACAAAATCAACTACAAGCACTAATTTTAAATATTATATCATTAATAAATATATACTTTTTGCTCTTTGAATAAACTATAAATAAACTATACCAAACTGCCTTAGTAAAGTAACATCCCACTTTCACACTGCTTCATATCTCTCTCTTTTGTCTCTAAGATCCCTGTTACTATATACTGTATTGCAAGTACTATATTTACAAGAAAGCTATAGTTACTTGTAATATTTTGGCACCTCTTGGCAAAATAAAAATTAAATATTCTGATATTTTCTTTTACTTTTCAAAGATTAATTTATTTACAAATATCTATTACTACAAGAGTAATAATATACTTGGAAAACCTATCAAATTAAAAAAGATTTGTACAAAAAGGTATACTTGATATCTTGGCTTTAGTAGCAACTTGAAAAGTCCTGTCAAATTGAAAAAGATTTGTATAGAAAAGCCACTTTAAGCCTCTGCTTCATAGCAACTAGAAGCTTACAGCTTAATTAAATATTAAGTGCAAATTATTTATAAGCCAAAGTATAAGTATAAATAATTTCAAAACTAAACTAAACTTTAAATAATTGTACTTGTTACTTTCTATATATATAGAGCATATCAAATCTATTTAGAACAAATTAAAGTCTACAAAACTAATCATTTCTTTGCTCTTGCTCTTAAAGTTATTCAATTTGATAACCCAGATTTATTTTGTCTTGAGTGTTTTCTTATTGTAAACCTTTACTGTAAATTTCATCATTTCTGGCAAAATTATTAAAAAAATTTTCTTGCTATTAGATATAATCAACAAACTGTTAATGCCTATTATATTTTAATTTATACTCAAACTTATAATCTTGCTAGAGTAGCTATCCAAAATATTGTTTTTAGCTATTAATATAATAATTTTTAATTCAATTCTACTGAAGCTATTATTTATTTTCTACATATCTATATCTCTTTTAAACTTGCTCCAGTATTATTTATTAACTTTTTTCAAACCTTATTAGACTTATATATAAAACATTTTACACCTTATATTTCTTTTTAATTTAATCAAGACAACCAAGCAATTACTGCCACATTTGAATATCTTTCTTTTATTATATATAACCAAGAAAATAAATTTAAATTTGTTACTCCTGCTATTACAAGATCTATTTTTATATTAGCCTCTGAAGAATTAGATCAATCTTTTCCTTATTCTTCTTTATTATCACTTTACAATGAAGATACAACTCAAATCAAATTTTCTCCAAACTTAATTTATCTTTTTCTCCTTTAACTAAAATACTTTTAGATAATTTTTCTTCTTCTTGTTAATATAGTTCAACTCCTAGTACTTCACAACAACCTGGTAGAGTTGTTCAGTTTATCTAAAAACTTATTCCTTTTAATTAAGCTTTTGCTACTCTATTACAACTTATTTTCTAGCTAATTTAAATAATCTTTCTTTAATTACACCTTCTTATCTTTAATAACCACCTACTACTAATTTTCCTCTTCTTCTTTTAACTAAATCTGCTAACCATCAAATTATAGAAATCAGCTCAGAAACTAACTTTGAACCAAACTTTTTTGAAAATCTTAAATTATCTAAAATATACTTTTTATCTAGCAAATATTCTTTTGATAATGAATCTAAGTATATCTTAATATCTGAATATCAAAAAGAACAAAACCTTAAGCCTAAAGAAAAAAAAAATTTCCAATTTGAAAAATTTGAATAAATACTATTAAACAATATAGAAGATACTGCTTTAAATTCTGCTATACTTGCAATGACTATACTTGCCAAAGCTCTTGGTTGAGGTAATAAAAAATCTCTTATTAAAATAAACTATTACTGAAGTAATGAAATCTAAGATACTATAATCTAGATAGAAGAATTTGAAAGAGCTACTAAAGCTAATTACTAGAGTACTGCCTAATAATTAGAATTAGCTACTATCTATATAAAGAACAAGACCTAAAAATAGTTTACTAGCTTTGCAAATATACCAACTATAATCAATATAGTCAAGCAATAAATAGTCAAGTAGTTAGAAGTTTTTCTTATCTGTTTAAAGAAAAATTTAATAAAAAGCAGAATAGCAAAAACAATTTTTTATAATAAAACAAAAAACAAATATAGTTGATATCTATGTTAGTTATTTCAAACAATTAAAAGCAAAAGTCAACCTAATAATAATCATTATTTTTTATTCAAGAACTATGTTTAGAATATACTATAAATGTTCAAACTACTAAATATAATACCTTGAATATCACTATAACCAAAGCTAGAAAATAGAAAACTGAAAAAACTATAACTACTAACTATAATATTAATGATACTATTAATTAAGCTATGAATATCTTACTAAACAAATAGTTAAATTAAGTATTAATTTTACAGAGAAACAAAATACTTTACTTTTTCTACTTCTGTTTACTATATAAACAATAATAAAGATTTCTCGTGACAAAATAATAATAATAATAATAGTATTGTATATTATTATTGTGGAAACAAATGATATTTTATTAGAGAGTGAGTGCTATATTAAAAAAAAAAATAAAAATAGAAACTCTTGTGACTATACTCATGATCAATATAGCACTTTTTTGTCAAGATATCATCAATTCTATAATAGATCTTAATTTAGAGATAGAAACAGATCTAAAAACCAAACTTCTAATTATTCTAATATAATTGATCTAGAAGCTAAAATCAATCTTAAAATAAATTAAGAAATAATAGAGATTATTATTTTTCTAACCAATTCAGAAGCTGTTCTTCTACTTTCTACTCTTGAGATGTTTATATTGTCGATATTGCTAATAATTATACTTATAAACAATTTAAAATATTTTTAGTTAATAAATCTATTCAAAAAGCTCTAGCTAGATATTTAGCTAAAGAAGCTAAAATTAAAACACAGATACCTTCTTATACTACATCTATAATATACAATATTAAACTTAAAAAAAGACTTTATCAAGCTATAATTAACAGTAGTGCTACTATTAGTATGATTTTGTATTAAACTATTAAGGAACTTGGACTAAAAATAGAAGTTTCTTTAACTAGCTTTATTGTATCTACTACTAAATTCTCTGTTTGATCTCTTAGAATAATTAGAAACTTGCTTGTAGAAGTTGAAAGCACTATTATCTCTCTTGATATAGAAGTAATAACTATTACTTTATATTTATTACTTTTAGATAAAAATTAGTTACAAAAAGTAAAAACTAGTTATAATTAAAAAAACAAAGCTTATATTTTTAAATAAATCAAAAAAAAAATTCATATTTTAACTATTTATAAAAATAATCAACTACTATCTACTTAATCTACAATTATCAATAAAAAGAAATTATAACAATTTAAACAATAATATCTTAATCTCTAAGAAGCCTATATATTCGAAACTAATTGATAAATTGCCTCTACCTCTAGATTCAGACTTGATACTAGTAATAAATTAAAATATAAAAATTGTTTTTTTACTACTTATCTTTTTGCCAATTGCCTAAATAACCAATATTATAGATATTATTAGTATAGACACCTTGCTATGTATTTCTTTAAACAAACCTCAAATAAACTTTTTGTTAAATCTGTTTCTAATCAAAACATTTTTATAAAGACTACTCTGATAATCAATACTATCAATATAAAAAGTATAATTATATTAAAAGGTATTATCCTCTTAATGCTACTATTTTAGATAACTAATACTATATATGTAAATATTCTCTAACTAAAGTTAAAAGCTATTGACAAACCTATTACTCTGTTTATCAAATAAATCATTGTTGTAACTACAAAGTATCTTAAAAGTCTAAAAATATTAGACTGCTAGAACACACCTTGGCTTGTAAAGCATGTTGAACTAATTTTTATTATAAGCTTGATCTAGATAACTTCTAAAATATTGAATACTTTATTAATGGAGAAAAAAAAGAGACCCTCTTAAAATACTAACTATACAAAGAAGAATATATCTGATCTAGAATATACAAATTAGATTCTGTTTTAAAAGATCTTGGTTTTGTAATCTTAAGCATCTTTATGCCTATATATAAGTTTGTCAAGGATATAGAATAAAACTCTAATCTAAATTTTTGAACCTGAGTTTAATATTATACCAAGTCAACTCAAAATGCTGAATATGTTTATGATTTAAATCAAAGCAAAATATTCTATCTAGCCTAAATTTAACTAGGTAAAAGCAATGAATATATTCTTTATACCTTTAAACTCCTCGCTGCTAATCATTCTAACCAGGACTATATTAATAATAAGATTAATCTTATTATAAAAGCTTCTCAAGCCCAACTAACTAAAACTAAAAAAACAAAACTACAAAGAATTTTAGCAAAATCCTTTAATATTAGCTATCTAGATTTTGATCAAAAGAAAGCTATGAAAAATTTGCAAAAAAATTTTCAAGAAACTGTAGAACTTTGCCAAAATTGTCTTATAGCCAAATCAAAAACAGAACTTAAACAATATAAAGCTTGTTGTCAAGAATTTTATAATAAAGCTTATTTAAAGGTTGAAGTGACACCCAAATCTATATTTTTAAATCAACAAGAAGTAATTAACTTATTTCAAAAACAAGTTCAACAACAAGTCCAACTTATTGCCTTTCTTTAAGAACAAGTTTGAATCCTTGAACGACTATTATAGCCTTACAAGCAAAAATCAATCAACTTGAAAATTTTTATCATCAAATAAGAAATTTGTATAAAGAATCTTTTTTGCCTTATGATATTAGTAATGAAACCTAAAATTTTTAGATTATTCTAAGCAAGATTAAAAACTACTTACAAATCTAAACTATTGTAGAAACAGCCACATTTATAAAATTTATATCTTTGAAATAGCTCCAAGAATAAGACCTATAAGCCCAAATCAAAAAGCTCAATTTAAGCAACTACTTGTAGAATTTGCTAACCTCTTTGCAAAAGATATAACTCAGTTAAAAAAAACTAACTTTGTAATTTACTGAATTTTTATAGAAGATATACCTCTTAATTATATATAGTATCTCTTACTAAATAAATATTTATAAATAAAAGTATAACAAATATTAAATAATAATTTAATACAAGAATCCTCTAGCCTCTGGACTTCTTTTGTTGTACTTGTTATCAAGAAAAATAAAAAGAAAAGATTTTGTATTGATTACCAAAAGCTAAATACTATCACCAAGAAAGATCAATATCTTCTTTCTTAAATTGATAAAATACTAGATTTACTAGTTGAAGCTAAATATTTTTTTACTTTAGATCTAATAAGTAGATATTGGCAAGTTAAAATTCACACAAATAATTATAAAAAGACTGCTTTCATCACAAAATATAGTACTTATAAGTTTAATATAATGCTATTTGGATTATATAATGCTTCTGCAACCTTTTAATGATTAATAAAATTAAGTTTATAAAGATATTGCTTACAAATATATAGTTGTTTATCTTGTTTATCTTGATAATATCAATGTATTTTCTTAGATCTTTGAAGATCATATTAAATATCTATGTGAAATATTTACTAGAATTAGAAATGCTAGATTAAAATTAAATATTGAAAAATATAATTTTTGAATAAAAAAATTACTTTTCTTAGAACATATTATAGAAGAAAAAGGAATTTTCCTAGACTCAGATAAAATAGTTGCTATACAAAATATACAACTCTACAAAATACTATGCAACTTTAATCTTTTTTAAGACTTGCTAAATACTATAAAAGATTTATCTAAAATTTCTCTTCTATTGCTTATCTCTTAAATCAATTATTATATAAAAATCAATCCTATAAATAGAGTTCACAATGCCAAAAAGCTTTTAATAAACTAAAACAACAACTTATTATTGCCTTTATCCTTATCTATCCAAACTACAAGAAAGAATTTGTATTAGCTACCAATGCTTCTTATTTAGGATTTGAAGCTACTTTGAGTTAAATATTAAGTAATTAAAAAGAATATTCTATTACTTATACAAGCAAAAGTCTAAAAAAAAAAGAAATAAACTATAGAGCTACAAAATTAGAATGTGTTACTATAGTATGAACTATTGAGCATTTTCATAAATATTTTGAGACTAATTATTTTACTCTAATTACCAACCACTCTGCTTTTAAATAGTTGAAATTCTTGCAACCAAAAAGATGCTTAGAATAATAGATAATAAAACTACAACCTTATTATTTTACTATTATTTACAAACCTAAACAAATCTATTCTAATATTGATACCCTTTCAAGATTGCCAACACAGATATATACTT